TATTGTATTTCACCTATTCTATTTGGTGATACTTCCCACCGTCTCCTCTTATCGAACAGGTTCTGTGGTTAGTTCCCATGTAAGTTTTGTTATGTTCATTTTCATCAACCAATAAACCCCTAAAGAGCATCTGAAAAAGCGACGGAGCATCTCGGCGTGGGTTTGACCCATTTTCAATTGACTTCAATTGGCATATAGGTCAACTGTGCAAAGTTTGAACCAAATCGGTCCAAGGGTTTGACGTTATCATGTTCACGGACAGACGGACACCATCGACTCTCCTATAAAGCTTGCATCGCTTTGCTCTGCCGCTTAATAATGCAACTTGTAAATCCAGCCTTGGGATGTACATTTTGCGCCGAAAATGCTTGCTGCCAAAGCGAAATCTCGACCGGAAGTGAGATATTTAAAATGGCGTCTTTTAATTAGGCATTATTATGGGCTCCAGTGACATGTAAACGTGCCGCACATGTCTAAGTACACATTTTAAAGCATAGATAATCCAAAAATACACTTTCTACTTATTCCTTATTTGCCAAAGCAAAAACTGCACTTTACTGAGCCAGTAGATGCATATCCTGGTATGATACTTCTGATCCTATGTGGAAATGCCAACTCAGTGCTGGAATCTAGGGTAGAGGGACTGGATTTTGTGATTTGTCACTTCTAGAGCAGAAAGCCAAATAAAAATCGACTGAATTAAACAGGAAAGAAATGAACTCTGATCCTGGGATATTTGCTGGGGGGTACGGAATACCCCACAGACCCCCGGTACTACGTTCTCCCACAAGAGTAGAGCAAGTTCGATGGCGTTTTCTCGCAAATTATCGTAAGAGTGCTAAACAGTACATGTTTCTGTGGAAGAACATAGGATCGGGTTTTCATTAAGGGCCCGGACCGGATCGAAAAAGGACTGAAAATCAGACCGAAACCGGTATTTTTTTCAGGACCGAAAACCGAACCGAAACCGTTATTCTTTCTCAAATGGATACTTAGTGAGGACCGGAACCGTTATTATTTTTTTCGGTTCTTTTCAGTTTTTACGGTTCTTAACAGTATATTGGAAGTTGAAGGATGCGCCGGTAAACGCGTCCTGAAAATTGATAAAATATTACTGATTGCCCTCGGCGGATTATAAATATTTAATGTGTCGAAATTGAGAGCAGTACGGGTAGCGGTGGCGTTAATTTAGCCCTCGATTTAGCCACTACGGTAAAATTAAATAATAATAGGAGGGGCGAGGATTTAGAAAATATGAATAAAGAACAATACTCCACAAGTGCAATAGTTTTACATAATTATGTTTTTGTGTATTTTCCTGTTTTTTATTAATAAATTAAGTTATTTCCTTTGTGGATAGAGTTACAGCCGACAGAGCCGTATAGCTTTAAAGGCTCAAAGAGCTGCTAAAGGCTTTCATTAAAGGTTATGAAGGATTTTTGAGAACCTTTAAAGCCTTTTAAATACTAATAAAGTGTGTACACGACTCATTAGGGCTTTTGGAAGTTTGTGGTAACTGTTTAATACTTTTGAATAGTTCCAAAGGTTCTTGAAGGTTCATATAACAACTCTTGAAGCTATTAAAGATTAAGTATCTTTAAAGACCCTTACAAATCCTTAAGGAGGCTCTTAAACTACTATCGTCGTCCCTTACAATCCCTTCAGGAAACTTTCTAAACCTAAACTCCAAAGCATTTAAACAGATCCGTATAGCTTTAAAGGCTCTAAGAGCTGCTAAAGGCTTAGGAAGGATTTTTGACAACCTTTAAAGCCTGTTAAATACTAATAAAGTGTGTACAGGAATCATTAGGGCTTTTGGAAGTTTGTGGAAACTGTTTAATACTTTTGAATAGTTCCAAAGGTTCTTGAAGGTTCATATAACAACTCTTGAAGCTATTAAAGATTAAGTATCTTTAAAGACCCTTACAAATCCTTAAGGAGGCTCTTAAACTACTATCATCGTCCCTTACAATCCCTTCAGGAAACTTTCTAAACCTAAACTCCAAAGCCTTTAAACAGATCCGCATAGCTTTAAAGGCTCTAAGAGCTGCTAAAGGCTTAGGAAGGATTTTTGACAACCTTTAAAGCCTGTTAAATACTAATAAAGTGTGTACAGGAATCATTAGGGCTTTTGGAAGTTTGTGGAAACTGTTTAATACTTTTGAATAGTTCCAAAGGTTCTTGAAGGTTCATATAACAACTCTTGAAGCTATTAAAGATTAAGTATCATTAAAGACCCTTACAAATCCTTAAGGAGGCTCTTAAACTACTATCGTCGTCCCTTACAATCCCTTCAGGAAACTTTCTAAACCTAAACTCCAAAGCCTTTAAACAGATCCGTATAGCTTTAAAGGCTCTAAGAGCTGCTAAAGGCTTAGGAAGGATTTTTGACAACCTTTAAAGCCTGTTAAATACTAATAAAGTGTGTACAGGAATCATTAGGGCTTTTGGAAGTTTGTGGAAACTGTTTAATACTTTTGAATAGTTCCAAAGGTTCTTGAAGGTTCATATAACAACTCTTGAAGCTATTAAAGATTAAGTATCTTTAAAGACCCTTACAAATCCTTAAGGAGGCTCTTAAACTACTATCGTCGTCCCTTACAATCCCTTCAGGAAACTTTCTAAACCTAAACTCCAAAGCCTTTAAACAGATCCGTATAGCTTTAAAGGCTCTAAGAGCTGCTAAAGGCTTAGGAAGGATTTTTGACAACCTTTAAAGCCTGTTAAATACTAATAAAGTGTGTACAGGAATCATTAGGGCTTTTGGAAGTTTGTGGAAACTGTTTAATACTTTTGAATAGTTCCAAAGGTTCTTGAAGGTTCATATAACAACTCTTGAAGCTATTAAAGATTAAGTATCTTTAAAGACCCTTACAAATCCTTAAGGAGGCTCTTAAACTACTATCATCGTCCCTTACAATCCCTTCAGGAAACTTTCTAAATCTAAACTCCAAAGCCTTTAAACAGATCCGTAGAGCTTTAAAGGCTCTAAGAGCTGCTAAAGGCTTAGGAAGGATTTTTGACAACCTTTAAACACATAACAACTCTTGAAGCTATTAAAGATTAAGTATCTTTAAAGACCCTTACAAATCCTTAAGGAGGCTCTTAAACTACTATCATCGTCCCTTACAATCTCTTCAGGAAACTTTCTAAACCTAAACTCCAAAGCATTTGAACAGATCCGTATAGCTTTAAAGGCTCTAAAAGCTATTAAAGGTTTTCCTTAAAGGTTATGAAGGATTTTGACAACCTTCGAAGTCTCTTAAAGACTAATACAGTTTGTAAAGGACTCATTAGAGCTCTTGGAAGTTTTTGCAAACGTTCATACGTTTGAAGGGTTCCAAAAGTTCTTAAAGGCTCATACACGAACTCTTCAAGCTCTTTAAAATTAAGTGCCTTTAAAGACCATGACAAATTCTTAAGGAGGCTCTTAAACTACTATTGTTGTCCCTTACAATCCCTTCAGGATACTTTCTAAACCTAAACTCCAAAGCATTTGAAACGCTCAGGCAGCCCTTGTGAACTCTGAGAGACCTTGCAGTGCTAGTAAAATATGTTCAAGGGATTCCGCCTTTCGGTTTTCAATCAATCTTAAAACTAAGGATTCTTAAAACCTGTCAAGGACTAAATATGCAATAAACGCTCCAAAGATTCTTGGAAACTCTCAAATATTAATATACCTCTGAACGCTTAGTTGTTAAAGTGCTCTTGAAAACCTTAAAATCACATAAAGACTCACAAACATCACTTAGGGGCGATATATCGTTTTCCGATGCGAAAAAAACTTTTTACCCGTTATTTTCGGAGGGTCCATCTTAAGGTAAAAATTTATTCACGAAATGGACAAGAGATATACCAAAAATCCTAGTGGACAAGGGCTATTCCATATAAGCCTTTTAATTTTGAATAGTCCAACTAATTTAAACAACACTTCCAAAAATCGGCTGTGAATTAAATTAATTAGAGCAATTTTACCTATGTGTGATTAAATGTTGTAAAGGTTTTTTTCCTCTTTTCTGCTGAATCTTTTTGTATTACACTCTTCATAGGATTAGTTCAATATACAAAATACAGAGACAAATACAAATACCAGCTAAATAAAATATACCAACAGTAGGTATTTAAATACCGTATGGCATTTCAAAAATAAATCATTTCCGCCCTCTAAACTTAGAGGTGGGGTGTCCACCATTTTCTTGGTGTGTAAAAATCGCAACATCGATAAACCAGTATCAAAAATACTCATATCATAAAAAATATCAGCGCACGAAAGAAGAAAAATTGAATCTCCGCGTACATTCATCTAGCAGTTGGGGTAGTATAAAAACAAAGCGCAATTAACCACAAATTATGTGTAACTCGGCGTTTAGTAGAACAACCTAAAAACCTCAACAGTAAAATTTATGGTCGCCAAAATAAAACTTAGCAAATACATTAATCAGACTGACCAAGGAGAGTGAGTGTCGGCCGTAAATTAATGACGAAATAAAAACCAACACGAAAAATAAAACATTTTCCATTAACCGCTGTAGACTCGTCGAAAACCCGCGGCGTGCAAAAATATTTTAAGTATTTCAAATTCGCGGCGGACGCGAAACCCCTCTACAAACATAATTGAATTCCGATCGATAGCCAAATTCCCAATTTTTATGAGCTCACATCCACCTAATTTCACCCCATACCAGACGCGCACCTTTACATAGTTTATTAAAAGGTTTTGTGTAGGGCACGTTCGAAATCTTCTTAGATTTTACGTGTATATATAAGACAGTAAACCGACGCCCTTATCGTACATTACGACGCCGATATGACGTGCGTATCCCATATACTACGTTATGTATATTACGTAATAATTTTTGGGTCGTCTGCTCATACAGATCCATATAAAGGAGTAATAACCGACAAATGATGTTATAAAATTTTTTATATGCCGTATAAGTCTGAATTACGCCCTCAAATAATTTTGAGGAACGTCAAAGGAAGCAAGTCATTTTACTCACCTCGCAGCTCGACTGGTTGATGTTGCTCAAATTTAGACGAAAGACGCGATCCCTGAAACAAAAAAAAAGGAAATTTCATCTAAAATTTCTAACAAATTTCAGCGAAATGAAAAATGCATTTCAGCACACACATACCATCAATAATAATGAGATGTTAACGCTGTATTATAATACTAATTGAATTGGTTATTTACTGCTAGTTTAGTTGTGTTAAATTTATTGCTAATTATTACAATTCTACTGTTGAAACATATTCGGTTTTGGTATTTGTTTGTAATGGGGTGGCGCTGTTTTTTTCAAATTTATATTTTGCTAAGCATAGGACACATGTGCCGCTTTATAGCCAACGGAAACAAAAGTGTGTCTCGAAATAAAGGCGATAACAACGCGTATATGTTCAATAAAGGATTTCTAGGCTTTTTGAGCGAAAGATTCTAACCAAAGACGTCGCTGCTATTTGATTCTATCAAACGAATTTTTATGAACACGCCGTTAAGAAATGCGTTGTGAATAAATTAGTAACAAAGCGAGAGTTACCTAGAGCTCAATTTTACATTAAAATTCGGAAGTGAACTTGATTTGTAGCATTTACGAATGATAAAAATTTACGCAAGGGAACATTTTCGAATTGGACACATGCTCTTCACTTAGAAACGCAATTATGTACAACATTTTTAGAGTTTGAACTCAAGTTTGGGCGTTGCAACTGTTTATAATCAAAGGTGGCTAACATTTTAACATTTTTTATCATTGATTAATTAACAAACAAATTTTTCATATGTAATTCGAAATATATATTGCTCAAAAAAATTTTCAAGTTGGTCATTAGCATGTTCAGGTATTTTTACCAAAAGGTACCCCGGGGATTTTTCGGCGGATCGTAAAGAAATGTGTTCACAAACTGTAGATACAATGTTTATTAATTCCTGAGAGATTCTACACTCTACAGGGATTCTTTAGATTTTAGATAATTGATTTTTAAAAATTTTGTAGAACTTATGAACATTATTTTTTTAGGGTTTTTGTAAAGATTGTGGAAACATTCTTTAGGTATTCGTCAAGGTATATTTTGAGAAGCTCACTGAATGATCTCCAGAGGTTTTTCAGAGGCTCTTTGGATATTTATTCCAATATTTAAGAAATGTCTCAACCTTTACAAAATAATAAGAATGTTTAGGGAATCGTTATATAGTCCAGTCAAATTAGACGTTATATGGTTACGAAAGGTCCGGTGGAAGATTTTATTTTTCCTACTTGTTTCAATAGTAAAGAGAGAGAAAAAATCAAGTTAGCCAATGCGACTGACGTCGGGAGAAATTTCTGTGGTCAACAATTTCCTACTTTTTTCGGTTTTTCTGAAATAACTCCTCAATCGGGAGCAATACTTAGGTAAAATTATTATTTATTAAAAACTGTAGTGTATAAGAGTATCTTTAATTCGATATTTTATTTGGCCCCGTCGCATGTGTACCTACTTTAGGAGATAAACCAATTTAAAGTTTAATGTTTTTCTCAATTTTTGGAAATAATGTCATTTTTAGCGCATTTTAAAGAATTAAACGAAATGTGGGACAAGTAATTTATCTCAGATTTTGTATGTACATGCCTCTAGTGATGCCATGTAAAACTTTTGAAAATGGGGGAGAGTGAGAAGGGGTAAATACACGTTCTACCCTTCATAGTATTCTAATGAAAGGTCTCATCGAAATGAATTGGTTTCTATAACCTTCCTACGCGGCTCAGTTACGACAACACTGGGTGACCGGAGGGGGGGGGGGATATTATCTTTCATGGTATTCTAATTAAAAGTAACTAAAGAAACTGTTTTCTACCAGCTACCGCCCTTCTTTCTAACCCCTTATCAACAGGGGGGTTGGGGGGACTGGTTTTATCCTTCATGGTACTCTAATGAATGGTCTCAATGAAAGGAATTAACTTTTGCCAATCAAAGTCTTTCTCCTCGACCCCTTATCGTGATCAATTATAATTACTTATATTCAAGAGCGGATTGTCGAGGAAAGGTACTCATAAAAGGCGATTGGGACGTCTGGAGAAAATATATCCATTGGTGATATAACCTTAAGAGCGGAGGAGTCGCAGGAGAGTACTCACAAAGGCAAAATGAATCCTCTGAACAAAACATACCTATTCTATTAGTGAAGTCGCTCATCAGTCAGGAGGGCACTGATAAAGAGCCAGTAAACCAGAAGATTGGGGTTGGAAACGCAGCGGCAATGGTTTAATACCCGTAGAGATCCAGCGCCAGAGAAGCTACTTAAAGAAGTTTCTTGTACGTGCAAGAAAGGTTGAAACAGAGCATGTTCTTGTCGAGTTTTTATTTAATTTTTGAAAAAGATGGACTCAAGGAAAAATTTAAATATCCCTGCACTGCTCCTCTTCACGTTTCATTTTTCTTATATGTATTAATGTGTTTTTTTTCTCTTTTGTTATAACGGTCAACCGTAAATAAATAAATAAATAAATAAATTTCTATATGTATACCTAATGTATTTGGGTAAATTTATTTTTAAGTCCAACAACGTTTAAGATGGTTTATTTTCAAAAATTACTAAAAACACGAAACTTTAAATTAGTGTATCTCCTAAACGATACATTTTAGGGGGCCAAATAAAATATCAAATTAAAGGTATTTTATACACTATAATTTTGAATAAAACATGTTTTACCCAAGTATTGCTGTTGGCGAGTTATTTTAGAAAAACCCCGAAAAAATCAAACATTTTTGCAGGTTTTGACCACAGAAATTTTTTCTCTCTCTTTACCATTTAAACAAGTCGGAAAATAAAATTTTACCGGAACTTTTGTAACCATAAAGTAGAAATTGAGTGAAAATTACTCAAGTATGGCTAAGAATCTCCTAGAAAATTATTAGAATATATGTTTTTTCTATAAAATAAGTTAATAACTCACATTTTTGTAGGCGGCGTTAATGAGTTAAAAGAAATTAAGAGAAGGATAGTAGGAAGACATTTCTTGAGGCATTCGTGAGCGATCCACAGAAGCATCAAGCGTGTCGGTCGCAATTAAGTTTTTTTTAATTCGTACCTGAGCCGAGAACGCATTTGAATAACCGAAAAGCTAGCGCTCTTTACTCGTTAGATAATGCCGACCAGTAAATTAAGCGAACGTCATTTATTGACACCACGAAAAAAGACGGTCTATTGTGCTATTGGTCGAAATAAAGACTGTCGCGAAAGACGTGCGTTCCAGTAACATAAAACTACCGAGTTTCGGTCAAGGAGAGAGTAATTAAACGCGCCAGAGTATTTTGTTTCGACAAACGAACAATATTCTAAAAAGTTACCATTGAAAAGAAAAGGGGAATTGATTTTTTGGCAGTGTATTTCGTAATTATAAAACTGTTGTGACTTCCTATAGTCTGAAAACATTTATAGTGCAAACTTCGCTAGATTCCTAGAAGAAAACAACGATTCTCGAAGAACTATCGGATTCTTAAACGCCTTCTTTCCAACCTTCGCTTCCTCGAATCTTTCAAATTCTTCGGAACCTTGAAGGTCTGTCAAGGCTGCAGAGGAACAGTTTGGATGGAATCTTCAGCCCATTCAGATGTTTCCAATCGTTCTGCTTCTGCAGATGGTTGGGATCTTTCCATTCCATTGAACTTTTTTGATTCTTCAGAGGATTCTTTAAAACCTTTGACTTTTTTTAATTCTTTTAGTTGCTTCGGATTACTGGAATGATGATAACATCCCTTATAATTTTTTTTTCTAAATAAGATTAGTGTACAGGGTGGCCAAATAAGAATGCGAGGTACTGTATCTGGGAACCTGTCCATCGTAGAGGCTTGCGGTAAAAAAATTTATTACTAAAACGACCACGAGAAAAACCTGGAAAATATTTTTAAGTTTCTGCAATGGCCGCTAGGGGGCGTAACTGCAATCTGGAATCTAAAAAAGTGATTTTTCTGTGAATTCCGCTATGTTAACCTAACAAAAATATCCGATCTTTGAAGTTGACGATAATCTGAACCTTTTTTGTTTGACAATTTTTCCTGTATCTCTAAAAATGATAATCCAAGGTTTCCGTAAAAAAACACCCTGTATCTTCGAAACGACTGAGCCGATTTTAACAAACTCGGTTTAATTGAAAAGAGTTATTCTTCGGCTACAAATATTATAATATTTGAAGTTTTGTTAGTTTCACATATCGCCGCTTGAGGGCTTTTTTCGACATTCCGACAGAAATGGTTAATTTTCTCAAAAAAATTAAATGCACTGGTTCGATTTTTTTTTCATGAAAAAGTAGCTAAATGATGCCTAAACAAGCTCGCGAAAACCGCATCTCGATATCTTGTTCCTAACCTAAAATTTGCTAATGCTCGAAATGCTGGCCATCACGATATAAAAAAATATCTTATCTATATATCTCAAGATATCGAGATGCTGTTTTCGCGAGTTTGTTTACGGATCATTTAGCTACTTTTTCATGAAAAAAAAATCGAACCAATGCATTTAATTTTTTTGAGAAAATTAACTATTTCTGTCGGAATGTCGAAATAAACCCTCAAGCGGTGGTATGTGAAACTAACAAAACTTCAAATAGTATAATAGCTGAAGAGTAGCTCTTTTGAACTAACCCGAGTTTGTTTAAAGGCCGATTCTACAATGAAGGTATATACCGAGAATAAGCTATACCTAGAATAAATGTCGACGGTTGATTTGGTTACCATTATGTCAACCAATGGCATACATGTTGCTATGGCAGTTATTCCAAGAATATCTTATTCTCCGTAAAAGTGTAATTGTAAAACCGGCCCTAAATCGGCTCAGCCGTTTCGAAGATACAGGGTGTTCTTTACGAAAACCTTTGAATACTCCCCACCACTTCATTTTTAGAGATACAGGAAAAATTGTCAAACAAAAATTGTTCAGATTATCGTTGACTTCAAAGAACGGAAATTTTTTTGTTAGGTTAATATAGTGGAATTCACAGAAATATCACTTTTTTAGATTCCAGATTGCAGTTACGCCCCCTAGCGGTCATTTCAGAAAATTAAAAATATTTTCCAGG